GAGTGGGATCGTACGACAGCGCTTTTATCAGAGCTTCTGCAGCCTCGATGTAGAAAAAAGCGGCTGCATTTCCGCTGCCAATCTTGTCTAAATCTACTGCTTGTATCGCTAATCGGTAGCCATCATCACAAAGTTCCTTTACGTCCACCATTTTGTTTTGACGAGAGGGCGCATGTCCTGAGGGGCGTATCGCGGGCTCGATAAATAAACGTAGGACAGCAATGCGTACATATTATATTGTCAGCCCGAAGTTTTAGTTCAAGGCCTGGGTTAGCAATTTCACATAAATATGAGTAAATGTTAAATTGGTTTGATGTCAAGAAGGATCAAAAACTGTACTGTTAAGTTAATGTGGTTAATAGATTATTTAGTAGAATGAAGGATTAGATATGTTACGTGTATCATTCGATGCATTTTTTCTCCCTTTTCATTGGCCGAGAGCCCACTACAGCCCACTACGTGGACTAAAAATAACTGCCTTCAAATAATGGTTCTCTCATGAGTAATACCGTCTTTTTTATTGAGCTTGACTGCAAATGATATTTTGCTCATGCGCAATTGTAACCACGCACTTGGGTGAAAAAGGGTAGTGAGCTGTCAGAGAGTGATCTAAATATGAAAACAAACGCGGTGATCGAATGGCAAAACGATTATTGAACTCGATTATCAAAAAATATCGTGATTTGTCAGTGTCTTAAAGATCAATTATTTGCCGATGCCGAAGGACGGTATTTTGCTCAACCTTGTTCAATAATTGTTAATTATCCACTATCTTTATTATATTGATTTTAATGGTACAGAACTTTAAAAAATACGCGTTGGTCCTTGGTGAATTACCTCCCACTTGTACGCGGTAGCGCATGGTTTTCTTTTAAAATATATTCACATAAATTTATCGGCAGAACAAAAACTTGAGGGATAATAAATTAACTCAAAAATCAGGCTCTCGACTTTCAGTCGTCATGGACGCAAGGGAAAGCTATTAGCAAATCAAGTTAGTCCTCTTTATAGGTTAATGCGTAGGGAAAATTTGGAGTGAAAATATTTCGCACACTATAGTGGCGGTACATCAGTGCAATGGAGCGCTTCAGTTCCATCGTGCTTTTGACTTGATATCAAACAACTTTTCCGGATCAAATTTTGCAAGTGTTGTAGAAATGGCCACGGAAGGCGACACACAAAATGTTCCAGTGCTAGTTAGTTTGATTAGTACTGTTATCATTAACGGACTCTCTTGTCCCTTGACATTTTTGCTCAATGTGCTGGTGATAATGGCCGTCAAGAGAAGACCAAGACTCCAGACTAAAACCAACATCCTGCTGGCCTGTTTAGCGGCTACTGACGCGGTGTTAACAAGTGTTCTTATCCAGCCATCGTTCATTCTGTGGGCAACGCTCAAGTTACTTGGAAAGATGAGCCAGGAAGCCACGGACGCAACCTGTTTTTACAATTCGTCTCTACGCACCGCCTTCATGTGTTCCTCGCTTCATCTGATGCTGGTTACGGGCGAGAGGCCTATAGCTATCAAGTTCTTCACGCGTTACCCTTATGTTGTCACAAAGCAGAGCATAAAGCACGCAGTGATCGTGTTTTGAATCTTAGCTATCATTTGGGGGATAACTGACATTTTGGCACAAATCTATACCGACAGTCTTTTATTTTACTTGAATTTTGTATTAGCTATCATTCTGATTTCGTGTGTTCTTTTCACTACATGTTCTTATGTGACTTTGTATCGTGAAACGCTTCGCCAGCGTAAGAAAATAAAAACCCAACAACTACCGCAAGAAGCGATGGAAAGATTCGCGAAGGAGAGTAAAGTCCTTAAGACGACTGTGTATATAGTCGGTGCTGTTGTATTTTGCCTTCTACCGGCAGCGTTTTCACTTTTATGGGTAGTTTCGCTTCCGCCGKKTGTAAAYCCCACGGATTCGAAATYCTTTTATGCCTTTACACCSTGGATTTYCACTTTCGGCATGCTYAACTCGCTTCTTAATCCACTGATCTACTGCYGGCGACAGAAAGAAATGARAAAGTTTGTGTTTAGATTTCAAGCCCRCCWRGTCGTACTTCCTGTAAACTTAAGTTAAMTGTAYGAGACTCTAAACTTTACTSTGATTTATGTCTYTGCAGATGTAGAYTCAGAGTACGACAAAAAATTAAAATTGAGAGACTCATCGAGACATTGTTTAGTTTGCATAAGTTGTAACAAATTAGGAAATCGAAAATGTGGCAAATGTCAGTGTACCTTACAGCGCTCAACTTCAACTTCAACTTTAACTTCACTTTATTTTGCACTTACATTTTGAAATTACAATATTAGCACCAAAATAGAAAAAAGATACGTATATAACAATTAAAGGTGACAATGATATTTAGTTTGTGCATGGAGGCAAATAGAACCGCGAGGTTATCGAGGTAGCCTCCATCTCGTTTGAGTGAACATAAAAAAAAAAACATGGGAGTAGAAGGACGGATTACTAAAGGAAAGAGCTAGGAGAATTGTGGAAACTTACGTTTGAAATTGCTGAGATAGAACATAGTTTTAACACTTTTGGAATCATCTTGCGAGGTCGTACACGTATTTGCGTGGCTGGCGGGGGAGGAGAGGGTGGGGCGAGATACTTTTAGGAACTTTCGTTCCCGTCTACACTACGCTGGAGAAATTAGAAAACGCGACAATCACCGATCATTGTTGGATTTGTGTTTGAGGAAAACTAGGGCAGGAAAATTACACGATTACTGTAACGTCATCGTCACGCAAAATTAACTCCGTTTTCTAAAACCCATTTTTCGTGCGCACCTTAAAAACGCAAAGTCAGCGTTTTCAAATTCCTCCGGCTTGAAGAGCGTTTTCAAAAAGCTCCGTTTTCGCGACTGATTAGTGTGGACGGTAGGCCTAACCGAAGGAATATAGCTGCGTTTTTAAATTTCTCCCGCTTCGTTTAGACGAGGCCTTAAAGAGAACTCGCCGGCCTCATTCTGGTTGCCTCATTTCTTAACACCCAATTACCCGATATCTGAAATCGGCTCGATTCTAACTAGCACTGGAACATTTTTGCCGTCAACTTCTAAGGCCATTTCTGTAACGTTTAATTTGTAAACTTTGATCTGAATAAGTTAGCTTATATCGAGTCAAAAACGCGATGGAACTGAAGCGCTTCTGTATGTTATACTCTGTTATACTCTTGTCCTTGCCGCTGCACTGATGTACCGCCACTTTAATGTGCAAAATGTAATGGGGCTGAAGCCCAGGAAAGGGAGAGGGGCGACTCCGGATCCATATGAAAAGGTTGGGGGTCCTCGTCGTCTCGCTCAGGGGTATAAATCAAGAATTCTGGTCTCACTTTGAGTGTTCAGGACGAAAAGGCACTAATTTAAGCTGTCAGAGTATCTTTTAGGGTGCGCTCGAATAAATAATAATAAAAAAACGCTCTCATTTCTGTTTTTAGGCTCGATTCCGCCGCTCTTTCAAGAACGGTCTACTAGCGCTGGCTTCTTTCCCAAAAAGCCCGGTGTAAGTACGGCTATTATGACGATTTCATCTCGGTCAAACTGAACACTTAGTACTGTGTAATGCACGTGTGATGTCAATGCTCCAAGCCGCTTCTCTCAGCCAAATTGAATGTGGCCGAATCAGTTTATCTGCGAACAATTTTTGTTAAGTCCAAATCCACAAATCATTTCTCTCTCCGAATTCAAATTAGGTAGGTGAAAAAGAAAAAAAAGCCTGAACTCAACAACATACAACTAGACAGGCAAAACATGCGCTGTTATGAAGAAGCTCCAAATTCGGAAGTCGAAATGGTCACTTTAAGGCAAGGCATCGGACCACGAATTTTTTGGTCAAATCCGTGCATTTCCGCAAACCCAGTTATTATGACTCTACTTGCAGTATTTAAAGTAATTTAAAGTCTGTCCACATTTTTTTCTGGCGACTGCACAATCGAATCGCGCGCGACAGTGAGCGCGGAGTGCGACAGTGATCGCGAAGCAGACGGCAGAGGAAAAATGGACGCTAAGTGGACAGGCTACGCAATCTATCGAAAGTAAATAGTAGGCCACACTTTGCCAAACTTTATTTACACAGTTACCTTGTCAACTCTTTTAGTTAGCATTTGCGGGATGCACATGTTCATGCGAAAATCCAAATACCGCCTTTCTCATTTCCTTCTGTCGCCAGCAATAAATCAGCGGATTAAGAAGCGAGTTTAACATGCTAAAGGTGGTAAGCCACGATGTAAAGGCGAGAAATGCACTTGGTGACCATGTTTGCAATCCTGAAGCTGTCACGACGAGAAAGAATGCCGACGGTAGAAATGAAAATATAACAGCGCCGACTACAAACACGGTTGTCTTGAGCGCTTTACTCTCCTTGGCGAATCTTTCTACTTCTTCTTGGGGTGTCTGCTGGGTTTTGATCATCTTTTGGTGGCGAAGCGTTTCAAGATACAAAATAACATAAGAACATGCAATAAAAAGGATACACGACATCAGAACGACAGCCACAAAAGCGTACAAAACTTTTAAATTCGTTAGTGTCAGTCTAAATAGCCCACAAATAGAAGCAGTAATCCAAAACGCTATAACCGCTACCTTGATGTTTCTCTTTTCGAGAATGGAAGGATAGTGCATAGTAAATTTTATGGCTACAAGTCTTTCGAAAGTTACAAAGATCAGATGAAGAGCTCAAGATATTATCACCGTGCAAAGAGACGAATCGTGCAATTCAAAAATCGTGTCAGTGTAGTCCACACCAAGTAACTGGAACGTTTTCCACAAGACAAACGACGGCTGCACTAGGAGACCAGTTAAGACATCAGTCGCCGATAAACAAGCCAGCAAGATGTTGGTGTTAGTCTG